AGGCAGAGCCCGCCGGTAGCGCTGCAGGACTCGGTGGCGGCGGCGCATGTCCTTGAAACGCTGATTGCGCTTCCAGAGCGCACTGCGGGCTCCTCGCCGTCGGCCAAGAGCAAAACCGGTTCCGAACGAAACAAACCCCGCGCTAACATGTCCCGCCATCTTCCCCAAGAGTTTGAATAACTTATTGGCCGGGCTCTGGCTGCCAACAAACGTGCAAACGTTGTCAGGGTGGGCGTCCGCCCTGAGCTCCTCGCAGGAAATGTTGTAGAGGGCCACCGTAGCCCCCTTAATCCTAACTAGCACTTGCTCCTCGGTTCTGTTACTGGTGACGCTGTCGTCATCCACTTAGGACGATAACCAAACATAAGGATGCTCATCGACGAATCGATCAAAGGTCCCCCTGCTGTATACTCTCACATATAAATCATTGAACCTATTTCCCGCTGGCAATCCAAACGAGGCGGACGGGGGAATCAACCCGTACTGGGCCCCGATGCGAAGTAATCGTGGGCCACGCCAATAATTGTACGTCGTCTGTAACAATCGCACGGTTAATGCCGTAGGAGAGCGCGCGTTGTCGGAGGAGGGGGCGTCAAAGGACCCGCAATATTTCGTGGCATCCCATGTTGGCCCTCCAGTGACCCCATCATCATGATGCGCGACCTCAGCCTTCGCAGCCTGATGCCACGCAGCGTCTTCTGCGCTGCGTCCAGGTCCGAAGGCCGAACGCTTTCGGGGGCAGCTAAGGTTGAAATCCACTCTGCTGAACTTGAAGTCGCCATCTCCACTGCTCGCGCAAACACCCCACCCGCCCACCCGCAACTTGGTTTGCAAAACCTCTTCAAACCGACTACGACGACACCGACGACAACGACTAAGACGACACCGACGACGTCTCCGACGACTTCGACGACGACAGCGACGCCGACGCCGACGACAACGAAGACGACGACGACGACGCCAACGAAGGCGACGACGAGGGAGGAGGAAGGACGACGACGGCGACAACGACGACAACGACGACAACGACGAGGGAGGAGGAAGGACGGCGACGACGCGAACGACGACGAAAGAGGAAGGACGGCGACGCCAACGACGACAACGACGAGGGAGGAGGGGAGACGACGACGACAACGACGACGACGCGACGAAATAGAGGGACGACGACGAGACGCCGACGACGGACGACGACGACGACGCGTGGGAGGAGGAGGAAGGACGACCACGGCAACAACGACGACGGAAACGACCACGACGCCAAAGAGGACGACGACGACGAACACGAGAAAAGACAGAGGACGACGTAGGCGACAACGACGACGACGACGACGCGGGAGGAGGGAGGACGGCGACGCCGACGACGACGACGACGACGACGCAAGAGCGCGCGCGCACGCTTTTGTTGAAAATCCGTGCTGCGAAATCTTGTTTTTTTTGTGTGTTTCTTGGACGCACGATTGCGAAATCCTTCCGAAACCGATGGGTTTTGAAGGTTTTCGGCATGCGCCCGCGACGGCGCGCGCGCGCGCACTTCGTCTCATTTTTTGCGGAGGATTCCCGCGACGGCACACGTGCAAGGACGTTCGACTGATTTCGACATGCGCGCGCGAAGCCCGTTTGGTAGCATGTTGTGAAAATCTTGAAAAACCTAATTATTGCCTTCATGAGATTTCGCAAGAGCTCGCGCGGAAGCTGTTTTAGCAAATCCGTGTTGCGAAGCCGTGTATTTTTGTATGTTTTCTGGACGCACGATTTTGAAATCCTTCCGAAACCGATGGGTTTTGAAAGTTTTCGGCATGCGCCCGCGACGACGCGCGCGCGTGCACTTCGCTTAATTTTTGTCCAAAGGATTCTCGCGACGGCACGCGCGCAAGGGCGTTAGACTGATTTCGACATGCGCGCGCGCGAAGCCCGTTTGGTAGCATTTTGTGAAAATCTGGAAAAAACTTATGGTATTCTTAAGATTTCGCAAGAGCTCGCGCGGAAGCTTTTTAGCCAATCCGTATTGCGCAACCATGTATGTTTGCATGTTATTCTTTGAAACTTGATTGCAAAATCCTTCCGGCACCGAAGGTTTTTGAAGGATTGCGGCATGCGCGCGCGACGACGCGCGCGCGCACTTCGTCATATGTTTTGCAAGGGCTTCTTGAAAAAGTGCTATGATAAAACAACGAATGTCACCGCGTCGTTTTTTTACAAGGGAACCTTAAGGGGGGGGAACCCGGCGCGGCTGGGATGATACGATTTCATATTTAGGATGGACAAGTGTAAAGAATTTATATGAAAGCATACTATCCCAGGGGGGGCTGATAAGTCTGGGGGGGGGGGGGGGGGGGGGGGGGGGGGGGGGGGGGGGGGGGGGTGGCGGGGGGGTAGAGTCTATTATCTTTTTAGAAAGGAGAATCAGCCACGCATGGCCTGCGCAACCTTTTCCAAACACGAACGAGCCCAGCACGCAAAAGGATGGGCCTCAGCCCTCCCTTCGATTTTCGAAGAGGCGAAAAAAATAACCAAAACAACTGTTTGGGGAACGGCCCCAGGCTCTCAGTAGCTTGCACTATCGCCGCGAACGTTTCAAGAGCCGAATCCGACATCAGGCTAAACTGACGAAGGCGGATGCCGCCCAGGGATTGGGAGGTCAGGTGAGAGAAACTCGCCGAAGTCCTCGCCGCAATCGCCGCGGGCCGTGGCAAGTGAATCCTGCCCGGCACGCAAACTTCAGGTGGCGCGTGCGACGCGCGCCAGAAACTCGCGGGCCCATCGCTTTGCCGGCGCAGAAGAGCCCGCGGATCGTTGGAGACAAATACCGGGCGGGTCTGAACGACCGCGGGCGCCCATTTAGCTTTGAGTTCAGCGCGTATATGCATAGCCCCCCCCACACCCCACCCACCCACCCATGCAAAGCTTTCTCCTGCCGCTCATTCCAATTATCACGTTTCTGCTTATCTATGGCCCGCTTGGCCGACGTGAGATCGTCGACCCGCGAGCTGAGAACCCCCCCGCACTCGTCGCGCCTGTCGGACTGCGCGCCCGGCACTCGTCGCGCCAGTCGGAGCGCGAGCCCGAGAAACAATGGCATCTAAGCGAACGCAACGCCCTTCACCCGGGCAAGGCGCGGTGGGCAGCTGCTGGGCCTGGATCTGCACATCGCCGGCAAAACTGATCAATCTGGGTGTGGAACAGAAAGTCGGGGTCTTCGGGGGCTCTCTGGAATCCAACGAAGGCCCCAATCGTTTCGGGGACCTCTTGGGCGAGCCAGATCCATCCGCGGCGGCGCCGCCTTTCATCAATGCAACTCGGCCTCTAAAAATCACACCCCCTTCAAACCTCTCTTCTTTGACCTCCGCCCCCGAGAAGGTCTCGAGCTCGAGCTCGAAGCGTCGGCGAAATAACGCCGGCCTCCGTAGGCAACTCCCATGCGCGAGCACCGGGGTCGTGTCAAACGGATTCCGCAGCTGCCTCGGCCACTGCTCGAGGAACGCGCCAGTTCCGAAGCTGAAGCGACGGTCCCATTGGCAAACTGGCGGGAAGTTCCTGGTGGGAGCGGTACATCAGCTGGTAACATTTGCCCGCGTCAGCCTTATAAGTGGCGACGACGGGGCGACGGCGGGGCGACGAGGTCTGCGCGCCCATGACGTCGGCTTGAATGCCCTCGCAAGCCCTCGTGAAACACGTGCCCGCGAGGAAGTAGTCAATCGTCGACAAGCTAGCGGGGGAGAGGCACGCCATGTGACTTGGCACCATCAAGGCGCCGCCGCTGCGCCCGGCGACCCCCGGGGCCTCGACCAAACTGGGGTCGAGATTCCAATCGCAGCCAACGACAAACATGCGCCCCCCATCAAGCCTCTACCACAGCGCGGAGCAGGGATACGTTCAGCTGGCACGCGCCGTTCCACTCTTGAGATATCCGCAGATCACCTGAAGAGGTGGCGCGGCTGGCAAGTCGACTGCAACGTGCATCAACCGACCAGGCCACAGAATACCAGGAGCCATCCGCAGACCACCTGAGGCCCAAATGCTGGCGCACGAAAACGGCCACCCCCAACCCGGCGCGACCAGCTCCCCCAGGGAGGGAGAGGGAGGAAAGCATTTTCCATCCGAGGGCCCCCGCTACTGACCCCCCCCCCCCGCCCCTGCATGAACCCGACCTCCTGCGCCAACTGGATGCCCGTAGACGCGCGACGCTCTCGGAGAGTCGTCCAAGAGTTATCGCTGCACGATTCAACGCGAATGCCCTGGCTCAAAATCAGCTCGGAGGTAAGTCAGGCGAAGGAGGGGGGGGGGGGGGAGGCGGCGCAGGCACTCCAAATTGAGAAGGTGGCAGGCCGCAACAGCGAGGTAAGATTCCACCCGCGCGGTCGACCTTTGCCAATGTTTCGGAGCGCAGGCTTATACTTGAACAGGAAGGCCTCACGGTCCAGCCGAATGCTGGACGCCATGATCTCGTCCACGAGGTCAACATCCATGTCAGAGGTGCCGTCGAGCTCGCGGTTGACCTGACGAGGAGAAGGAGCTGCGCCACCATCGCGCTGGAAGCCCTGGCCACCAGGTTCGAACGGAGACGTCACCACGCGCGTTCCCTTCTCCTGCTTGGCCTCGTTACTCTCATGGAGAACGGAAGCGAAATCCTTGAACTGCTGCGACTCCACGAATGTAACGATCGCATCTTTCCTAAGGTGCGTTGCCGAGAAATCTGGGCCCAAGCCAATCGATGCCGCCACTGGGTTGGACATGATATATTGAAGTTCTTGGTTGAGGACACGCATCTTTTCAACGGTAGCCGTAATCTGCGCCCTCGAGGATTTAATCTTCTCCTGGGCACGACGGATGATATCTTCTTGTCCGAGTGCGGTCTGTTCAAGTTGAGTCTCTTTAGCTGAAGCACGCGCCAGCCAATGTCCCACTGCGTTGCGTCTCGTAGGTTGCGGTTTCTCCTCGGCCAGCGCCTTGCGCGCATCCGCCCAACTGCCCTGGAGAGATGCCACGGCCTCGCTGCCAGCTTAACCAGGGATGTCCTTGCAGTTGGCCACAGAGATCTCCAGCTGCTTGCTCTTGCCCCGAAGCTCATCCAACTCTTTGCTCTCTCTTCCTTCTCCTTATGTTTGTCCTTATCCTTGTTATCGGAGTTTTACGAAGGCGGCGTAACTGCATCAGCTTGACCACGCTGACCAGGAGACGCCACAGGCTTGTCAATCTTCTTCTGTAGTTCAACAAGTTTCTGCTGCAAGGGTTACGCCCAGGGCCACGAACACGACGAGGAGGATCTTGGGAAGGCTGTCGACCCGCAGGAGCAGCATAAGCATGTTTCTTAGCACGACGCGGAACTCCAGCAGGAGAAGAAGCGCCGCACTTGCACACGATCCTGGAAGCCCAGTTCGCGTTCCTTCCACATGTAGTGCATGACCAAGTGGAAGTACTTCTCCAGCATCTTCGCCGCCATGAGACGGGGCCATGCGGCCACTCGGCTGGTGAAAAAGGGAGCGCCCTCGCGGGCTCGCAGTCTTGCCGCAGCGAAGCGGTCGAGTAAACGTATCCTGCCAGGCCTGAAACTCAAGCAGGGATCGCGAGAGCACAAACAAACGAAAACACACGCCGAACAACTCTCAAACCTGCCGCACGGCTGTGGACAAGCTCGAAGCCTCGCGGCAAGGTTTCGAATTTGAGCCAAAATGGTTACGGGAGTGTTCTGCTGGCTCGTCACGCCTTGCGTAATCTTGTCGCCCATGCGCTCGATGGCCTGCGGGATGTTGCCGATGGAGCGCTGGATCTCCGCCTCGAGATCACGGCTGGCCTCCCGGAGCCGCCTCGTTTCGTTGGCCGCCTCCGGGCACTGTTTCTGAACCTCCGCTCGAACGTCCTGGTGCGCCGCCTCGAGCTGCCGAGTGAGCTCGCCACGGCGCGCCTCGAGCTGCGCCTGCACCTGCTCTGCGTCCATCCTGACGTACTTGCTGTGCTGCTACCTGTGCCTTGCATGCGTCCCGGATCTCCTGTGCAGGACGCCCCTCGCGAGAGAACTCGCCGAGCACATGACCTGAAGGGCCTGCTCGACGACGTGCTTGAACTCGAGGTCCAGCGCGCGGTCCTCGTTCGCTCCTCGGCTCCGGAAGCCACGCTCCCTGGCTCCGAACCTGCGCCTGCGCCGCGGCCGCACTGCCGCAAATCGCCCTCGCGTCTCCTCGTCGTCCTCCTCCCCTCCACCTGCGGCGGAGGAGGCCTACCTGGTGGCTGGCGGGGACTCGGTCGCTGCCGACGTGCCGCACCAGAGGGCAGGCAGCAGAACTAGCGCCTTCCGGCTCACGTTACCATTATGGTGTACTATGATGTGGATGGGGCGTTTCCCTTGATCCTCTACTGAGCCAAAACGGCGATGGTAACGCTGGCAGTCGCAACTAAGATGGACCCCCTGGTTTTCTCGGAGGGTCCTCTCTGCTGGAATGTCTGCTGCTATGGATGCTACCGTCCTTGAACCTAATACAAAAACAAATGGCGCAAACATAAACTTTGGACGGTCTACACGTGTATGTTTGTGCCGCGGCGGCGCCTCCGGCGCCGCCCCCGGCAGCGCCTCCGACACCGACTGGGCCCCCTCTGGCGCCAAGAAATCCGCGCGGACCGCCAAAAGTTGATGTTCATGCCGCTTCATGTTCTCCGAGACCCGCCCCGCGCTCCGTTCCTGGCCCGTCGCTCGGGTTGCGCACAGCTGTGGCCACCAGGCGCCCCCCAGGAGGCCCTGTGCGCGCTGCGGGCAGCTCGGCTCAGCACGACCCCCCGCCCGCAGGAAACTCGGCGGCGCGCGCAGCTTTCCGTCGCTCGGACGTCTATTCCCCGTGCGTGTTTCGGCTTCGTGCATATGTTTGATCGCCAGATGGTCCAAGATGATCCACAGTGAGGAGGCCTCCTAGATGGGGTCCGAGTAGATGGGGTCGAAGGATCGCGCCACATCGCCAATGCATCGCTGATATATCGGCGATGCATCGTCGACGCATCGGCGAAGCCAGCGTGGGGAAACACGGGCTCCACATCGGGCCGCATCGCCGATGCATCGGCGATGCGGCGCAATCCTCCGACTCGATCTACTCCGACCCCATCTAGGAGGCGTAGACAGTGGTCCTCGCCGAGAAGAAAAAGCACACGCCCAGGCGATACCAATACAAGGGAGCAAGCGGAGGGGGGAGGCCTCGTAGATGGCGGCTGCTTCCGAGAAGGCGCCGGCCTGACCTCTACAGACGAGGCCCGCGCCTTGTCAGAAGCAGGGGTGCATCTAAGAAGCCTGCGCGTGGCCGACAACCGCGGGAGACATCGTCCGATCGGTGTCGGGCGTGGACCGGCCGAACTCAGCGCAAACTCGGCACGGCCAATGCAGAAAACCGGTACCGCCACAATGATCAAAATATAAGGCCCCCTCCAGGGCCGCGAGAGGCTCCCAAACCCCACCCAGCAAAAATCCGGCTTTGCAGGATACGGGAGCTGGCGCTCTGGTGGAGCCCCTTTGCGCTGAGGACGCCGCTACCTGCCAGCTGGGATGGCCCCGCCTCGTCGTCGCCAGTGAGGAGCATGTTCTCTGGCTTCAGATCCTCGCGGCGGTGCCCGGCGCTCAGAGCACGCCCGATGATCCTCGGAACGTGTGTTAGCGCCAGGTTGTGCTTGTCCAGCGACGCCCTTCGAGACAACGCATTCGGTGTAATGAGGGCCGAGAGAGGTACCCATCGGTCGGAATACATAGGTAGAGACATGAAGTCGGAAAGCGTTGAAAAAAAAAATGGGTGCCCGCCCGCCCCCTCAGGAGAACGGAACAGGTGAAGCCCCTCGATCATTGAAGTACGACGGCGCCCCAAAAAGATTGGAACCTGGGAGCCCCAGGATATAGAGGCCTCCTAGATGGGGTCGGAGTAGATGGGGTCGGAGGATCGCGCCGCATCGCCGATGCATCGGCGATGCATCGGCGATGCATTGGCGATGCACTGGCGATGCATCGTCGACGTGGGCGATCATCGGCGACGCCGGCGCGGAGAAACTCGGGCTCCGCATCGAGCCGCATCGGCGATGCATCGGCGATGCGGCACGATCCTCCGACCCCATCTACTCCGACCCCATCTGGGAGGCCTAGAGGATACCTACTTTCAACGACCGGTGTGTCAGCACGCACGGCCGGCCGAGACAATTCCCGAGGGTCCGGGGCCACGATCCGACGAGAGGCCGGCGGGGGCGAACAGAGAAACGCGCGGCGCCGGCAGCAGACCGCGAGAGGGCGGGCGGGAGCCTCGGGCGTCCCTTTTAAGTGTTCTTGTTCGCTTTCGTGCGTGGCTTTTTCGCCAAATGATCAAGGATGCGCCTCGATGGTCCTCGCCGAAGGGAAAAATGCACGCGTCCGAGCGATGCCAAGGCGAGAGGGCGGGAGCCTCAGAGGCGGCGGCCCTGGCGCTTCGCGCGCGTGCGCCCGCGGCCCGCCCAAGAACAAGCAAGGCTAGAGAGGGGGAGGGCCCTCCTCCTCCTCCTCCTCCTCCTCCTCCTCCTCCTCCTCCTCCTCTCCTCCTCCTCCTCCTCCTCCTCCTCCTCCTCCTCCTCCTCCTCCTCCTCCTCGTCCTCCTCCTCCTCCTCCGGAGCGTCCTTGCCGCTGCCTGCGCGGCAATCCAAGGGTGCCAGTGCCAGAGCAGGACGAGCACCGCTTAGACGGTCCCCATCCCCCCATCCACACTGACGTGGCCTCGTCCCCGCTGGCCGATCTACCCCCCTGTGTGGGCATGTGTGCTGTGCCCCTCGGGCCTCGCGGGGCCCATCTCCACCTGGGAGGGTGAGCTGGTGGGACTGAGGCACCAGGTGCCTCCCAGATGGGGTCCGAGTAGATGGGGTCGACGGAGGGCACCGCGTCGCCGACGTATCGCAGATGCATCGGCGATTCATCGGCCACGTCGGCGGCGCATCGGCGACGTTGGCGAGGAGAAAATCGAGCTCCACATCGGGCCGCATCGCCGATGCATCGGCGATGCGTCGCGATCCTCCGATCCCATCTACTCCGACCCCATCTGGGGGGCCTGGAGATACCATGGCCCAGTGGGGATGGGGCTGGGTTCAACGATGCCGACAACAAGCTCGGGGACGCACTGACACGGGTCAATGCAAACCCGGGTCTGTCAGGCTTTGCAGGATCCTGCGCGCAAGCCCGGGTCAATGCAGCCCTGGCTCTGCAAGATCCTGCAAGGTCCGCCGCCCTGGCTGACCCCCGCTTGCACTCATAATAATGGGAAAACAAACCTACCTCGCTTTTGACCACCCTCGCTTCCAAGAGATACCACAAACGATGCCAAATTGCAGCCTGTACTGGTCAGGCCGCTTGATGAGGAGAGGCGTGGTATGGCTTGGTTTTGCCTGGAAGCGAAAGCGGGGTAGGCAATTCACGCTCTGAAATCATCCCCGTCCCTTGAGCCCCGAACGGCCCTGGCTCTTCAGGATGCGGACCCGCGCTTGCACTGCTCCCCGCCCCCTGGAGCCCCGAACGGCCCTGGCTCTGCAGGATCCTGCACGATCCAGCGCCCTGGCTGACACCCGTTTACGCTGACCCAACACCCGGGCGCGACCTCGCTCTCGTCGTCGTCGTCGTCGTCGTCGTCGTCGTCGTCGTCGTCGTCGTCGTCGTCGTCGTTCTCCTCCTCCTCCTCCTCCTCCTCCTCCTCCTCCTCCTCCTCTTCCTCCTCCTCCTCCTCCGCCTCCTCCAGGCCAGCCATGACGGGCTTCGGCTGAAGCCGTCGGGGCTGGCACCCCGTCGCCAGAGACCCGATGCCTCTGATTGGTTCACTCCCACGGGCGACGGGCATGTCTACACTCCGCGCCCTCGCGGTCCCAGACCCCCAAGTCTCGACCCATTGACCGGGACCGGTTTCTCGTCCTGAGTAGTCTTGTTGACGGCCCCGCGGCCCAGCAAGGGCCCCCAGGGGCCGAAAGTGGCGAAACACCTCCCGTCGTGATATTTTTGTCACTGCTCGAGGGGGTCTGGGAGCGCGCGGTGCTGCAGATGCGCGACTGGCCATCGCTCGATCGTCCCTTCCCTGTGTTTTTGTTCGCTTTCGTGCGTGGGTTTTTCGCCAAATGATCAAGGATGCTCCTCGATGGTCCTCGCCGAAGGGAAAAATGCACGCGTCCGAGCGATGCCAAGGCGAGAGGGCGGGAGCCTCAGAGGCGGCGGCCCTGGCGCTTCGCGCGCGTGCGCCCGCGGCCCGCCCAAGAACAAGCAAGGCAAGAGAGGGGGAGGGCCCGACTCCTCCTCCTCCTCCTCCTCCTCCTCCTCCTCCTCCTCCTCCTCCTCCTCCTCCTCCTCCTCCTCCTCCCCTCTCCTCCTCCTCCTCCTCCTCCTCCTCCTCCTCCTCCTCCTCCGCCTCCTCCTCCTCCGTCCTCCTCAGGACGTCCTTGCCGCTGCCCGCGCGGCAATCCAAGGTGCCGATGCCAGAGCAGGACGAGCACCGCTTAGACGGTCCCCCACCCCCCCCTCACACTGACGTGGCCTCCTCCTCCTCCTCCTCCTCCTCCTCCTCCTCCTCCTCCTCCTCCTCCTCCCCATGGAGACGATGCGCCCCGCGCGTCGGGCGCTGCGCGCAGGGCCGCCGGGCCGCCGCAGGGCCGCCGGGCCGAGGCGAGGGCCCCGCAGGGCTCCGAGGGTGTGGGCACGGGCCCAGCAAGAGGAGCCGCGCCCTCCGCGCCGTCCTCCTCGCCCTCGCTGCCCTCCTCCTCCTCCTCCTCCTCCTCCTCCCTCCTCCTCCAGCTCCCCTCCTCCTCCCCTCCTCCCCCTCCCCCTCCTCCTCCTCCTGCTCCTCCTCCTCCTCCTGCTCCTCCTCCTTCTCCTCCTGCTCCTCCTCCCTCCTCGTGTTCCCATCGTCGATCTTCCTCCTCGCCCTCGCTGCACCCTGCACAGTCGGGGCCGATGGGAGAGGAAACGCGGAGAGGGCACGCGGCCCTCCTGAGGGCCGCACTGCCAGAAGGGGTGGGCCGCGAAGCACAGGGCACCGAGGGCACCCTTGCTTTGGCAGGGTCGACCTACTCGGCAGCCTCGGCTGCGCCGCCCGACAATTCACCGCGGGGTCCCCAGGCCTCCCCCTACCGGTGGTGTGCTTCCCAAGGGACTCCAGCGAATGAGCCTCTTGAAACCGCGGCGTGGCACTTGAGACCTCGAACCATGCGAGCGGAAGCGTCGCGCAGCGACCTTGTGGGCGAAGCCGAACGGACTTGAGAAATCGGCATCGCCCGTCTCAAAAGTCCCTTTCCCTGGGGTCCCTTTTGGAACCACCTGAACCTCCCTCTGGTGCATCCGTCCGTCCGGCACAGTCCGTCCCATCCCCTCCGCCTGCCCCTTCATTCGCCGCCTGATCAGCCCGTGATAGATCCTCCTCCCTCCACATCTCTCCTCCCTCCTCCTCCTCCTCCTCCTCCTCCTCCTCCTTCTCATCCTCTTCTTCTTCTTCTTCTTCTTCTCTTCCTTCTCCCCCTCCTCCTCCTCCTCCTCCTCCTCCTCGTCCTCGACCTCCTCTTCCTCCTCCTCCCTCTTGTATTTACCTTCCTCCGCTCGCTCCTCCTCCTTCTTCTCCTCTCCCTTCTCCTAATTACCTTCCTCCTCCTCCTCCTCCTCCTCCGCCTCCTCTTCCTCCTCATAGTGTTCCTCCTGTTTTCCTTCCTCCTCCTCCTCCTCCTCCTCCTCCTCCTCTCCCACCCCCTCCCCCTCGCATACTCCAACCCCCAGGACCGGACCAAGACATCTGGGCGAGAACGCGACCAAGAGGCCGCAGCAGGGCCGGCCGTCCCGGTGCACGCAGCTCCGCTGGTGCATGAAGTCCACGCCCTGCGGGCGGACTTCTCGCCGCTGCCGCGGCGCGGCGGGGCGCCGCCGCGGAGCGGGCGCCGCCGCAGAGAGGCCGGGCGGCTCCCGGGCAGCGTCTGCCGCTGCCCGCTGCTGCAAACACTGCCGCCACGGAGGAGGGCACGGACGAGGCTGAGGAATAGGACGAAGAACAGGAGGACGACGTCGAGGACCGCGAGGACGATACTTGCAAGACTCCGGGGGGGGGGGGGGCCGAGGATGGGGGGATGGATGACGACGGCGATGACGACCGTGTGAGGGAGGAGGGGGATCACGAGGACGAGGACGACGACGACTAGGAGAAAAGAGAGAAGGTGATGCTGATGTGGATGATGATGAGGAAGAGGAGGCAAGGAACAGGGAGGAGGAGGATGAGGAGGAAGAGAATGAGAGGTGCAAGTCGCAGAAGACGCACGAAGCCAATGAGAGATAGAAGCACGAGGCCTACCGGCCTGCCTCTTCCCACTTTACCCCCCTTCGGCGCGCCGACGAGCAAGCAAAATTGAAGCTGAGAACACATGCAGAAACGATCGAGTAACATGCTTTAACGTTTACTGCGAACGCATGCCTTTCTCGGGAACAATCGGGAACGTGGTGTGATCTGCAAAAACACATCGAATGGTGTGCGAGAGGTGTACGAACTGCGCAGCGATCAAGCAAAGCAATTACTACAATCGTTTCCAAACAGAGAGCTCATGGGATATGAGAGCCACGAGAAACGCGAGGTCGGCCTGGAGGATCTGCGCAAAGTACCGCGCAGCCCGCGCCTGCGGCCCAGGCGCGCACCCTCACGATGGCACGCACGATGCTTACCCGCATCCAAAGGAACGGCGAAATTTGGAGTTAAACTAGGTGCATACACGGTGGCTGGCCAACCCGCCCGACAAATGCGGCTTCGGCGTCGCCAACTAGTCACTCGGCATGCAAACACTCAGGATGATATGCGGCAGGCGCTGTGCGCGAGGCATTCACAACAAGTGCTTGTCCTGCATCAACTCGGGCACCATATGTTTCACAACGAATGCTCCGTGCGGCGTGAGTAAAGAAAGGACGGGCACTGCTTGAAACAAACCACGCGTGCTTCCCCATAGATATTCCTCTTCTTGGGCGCAGGAGACGTAGCATCATTATCACTCTCCTCCTCCAGCTCGACTCGTCACTCTAACTGCCAACTTATTGCTCGTACAACACAGGAAGGACCTCCGACCTCCTCTTTTTGTAACAAATCGCTCCCACTAGATAGTTCACATAACAGGGGACACGTGTGCATCAGCAATATTTGACAATGCGAATAACGAGTCGGCAACACTCATGTACGCTTGCATGTACCATGATGTTCGAACATTCGCTCAAGCTACGCACCGCGACGGTGGCCGATAGTTTGAACATGCAAACGGTGCAAATCCACCACCGTGTCTGCACGAAGTGAGCCTGCCAAGCTGTTCCTCTGCTGCCTGGTGAGGTTTGGTAAGTGTGTTCTAGGGCTGGCCCCACCTCGTTGAACGCGCGATTTGAAAAATCGCCCACCCGAGTTTGAGCCCCAGCGTCTCTTTGTTGGCCTCTACAAGAGCCCCTGGGGAAGGGAGATAAAGAAGGACGCGATACCTGAGCGAACAAGGAATACAAGGGGTCGGCGGATGTGGCGTAAGCCTGTAGAATCACCCACCTGAGTTTGAGCCCCAGCGTTACTTTTTTGGCCTCTAAACGGCTCCAGAAGGCCCCAAGCCCGCCCCAACACTGCCCAACGAATCCCCGAGACGGTCCCTCGACTGCTCGGAAATGCCCCGCGACGGTCCACAGGAGGGCCTCGAGATGGCTGAAGATGGACTCCAGACGTTCCAAGAGGCTCCCAAGACGGCTTGTGGACTCTAAGAGGGTGCCCAAGGAACTCTCGAGATGCGAAACATGCGTGTTCGATAAGTTTGTGCAGGATGGTACCATGCAAGCCGTGTCATGCTTGCTAAAGCCCAAACTGATCCAACACGTCGCAAGAGGTCACCAAGACGGTTCAAGAAACCCCAGAAGAAGTCCCCACTAGTGGGCCCGTTAGGGGGACATCGAGCTGGCCTCGAGGGCCTATCCCTCAAATGCTGCCTCCAAGATTCCCAAACATGACCCCCAAGAGGCCCCCAAGACTTCCCCGAGGGGCCCTAAGATGCCCCCAGTACGCACCCAAGATACCTCCCAAAGCCTCCCAACAGACTATCCCCCCCCCCCCGTGACGGGCCGAAGTGGCCCTCGAGAGGCCAACACGGAGCCCCAGAGAAGCCTCCAAGGTGCATCGAACAGAGAAAGCGAGAGAGAGAGAGAAAGATATACATACACACATGTATATGTATATATATGTGTGAAGAGAGAGAGAGAGAGAGAGAGAGAGACAGAGAGAGAGAGAGAGAAAAAGCCAGAGCATGAGTGAGAGAGCGAGAGAGGAAAGAGGAGGCGGAGGAGGAGGAGGAGGAGGAGGAGGAACGCGAAACAACTACAATGAGAACGAGGCTGCGAAACAAGGAGGGGGTGCTCTCAAGATCCGATCCAGTTCACCCTGTCTGTGAACCTGAGCGTGTCTCAAACGCCCTCGTCGGCTGTACCTCTCCTGCTAAGCTGTTGGGCAGGCCCGGCCCGGTTGCGAGGTCTGCCGATGGCAGCTGGATGACATCAGACACTGCCGCGAATTCGGGCCATCAGATGGCGTGGGCAGACTGAAGCCTCCAAGTCCTCCTCCTCCTCCTCCTTCTGCCTGCGTTCACTGAGGCCCTGGCAAGCACGTCCGAGGCCCCTTCCGCACTGCCTCCGCCAGGAATGCCGCTGGGCATCTCCCCCCTTTCCGCACTGTTGCCGCACTGGGACGTCCAGGAGAACACTATGGCCCGAAGCCTCGAGGGAGCTCGAGAAGACTCCGTGCGGAGTTCCGAAGGGCCCCAGGAGACTACAATCACCCTCCATCATCGACTACACGCAAGAGTGACCCTGGGTAAGAGTGACTTTGTGTGCGCGGCGTTTTGGGGGCCGCGGGGAGACCAAACAGCAGCGCGCAAGGCCTTACTGACTGCCGCATGGCGGTTGGCGATCGGGAGACCCCAGTGGGCCCACACCAGAGGTCACTCTGGCGAAAAGGTTACTCTTACGTTTAGTCGACATCATCATTCCTCCTCAAGGGCTCCCAACTTCGCGCTTCGCGCTGCGCGAAGTGCGAATAACTTCGCGCTCTCGCGCCGCCTCCCAGGGGAGAAGAGGAGGATGAGGAGGAACCGGAGCCGAACCGCAAAGCACGAATCGCTTCGCGTCCTCGAGGCTCCAGGGCGCCCCTGCCTCCTCCTCCTCCTCCTCCTCCTCCTCCTCCTCCTCCTCCTCCTCCTCCTCCTCCTCCTCCCCCTCCTCCTCCCCCTCCCCCTCCTCCTCCTTCCGCCTGCACCTGTCGTGGGGCGGGCACCCCTACTTTTGAAAGGGGCCCCTGAGCCTCGGGCAGGCGGTGGCCGGGCTGCGCCGCGCACAGGCTGCGCAGGGACCCGCCGGCGCAGTTCTCCAGCACCATGTAGACGTACCTCGACCCGCCGCTCCACAAAGTGATGGGCCTGTTTTCCACTACCACTACCATAAGTTAGAGGGAGAAGGAGGAGGAGGAGGAGGAGGAGGAGGAGGAGGAGGAGGAGGAGGAGGAGAGGAGGGAGAAGGAGGAGGAGGACCCCCATCCCCCCCTCCTACTCATGGTAGTGGTAGTGGAAAACAGGCCCATCACAAAGGGCTCCCAGCTTCGCGAGCGCGAGGTGCGAATCACTCCGCGCTCTCGCGCCGCCTCCCAGGGGAAAGGAGGAGGAGGAGGGATCGGGGCCGAATCGCGAAGCGCGAATGACTTCGCGCCCTCGAGGGTGCCCTTGGATCCAGAGTTGGCGGCGCGCAGAGGGGGCGTCCGTCTCCTCCTCGTTCACCCATTCATGACCACTTGGAGCACACTCATTTGGCGGCGAGCGAGGGGAAGTGAAAAGGAAAAGGTCTTCTCGGAAGGCGGCGGGACTTCGCATGCGCCCTCGCGCCTTCTGGGAAAATTGCCCTGGCGACGTGCCCAACCCCTGCGCAATGCGGGGCAAGAGTCGCTCGGGAGATTTGAGGAGAAGGCGGCGACGTGACATGGACGCATATACTTCTGCGAACGGCATTCGCAAGGTTCGCAGGTCCCCAGTCAAGGGAAAAACTACGAGTAACTGAGTGAACCCCTGAGTCACTAAGGAAGACGTAAAGTTAAAAAGGAGACGCTGGGGAAGGGGCTTGAAACGACGGCGGGGCAGCAACAACATGACATGCCCCCCCAGGGACGGCGAGGCCCCGCTCAGGTCTGCGCAATGCCTTACTCCGCTGGACCCGCCAGCAGCCTTCGAAAGTGGCGAACCCACCAGCAGCCCTCGAAAGTGGCGACAGTTCCGCAGATCGCAGCCCCCCACGGACGGGGAGGTCCCGCACAAATCCGCGCGGTGCCTCACTCCGCTGGACCCACCGGCAGCCCTCGAAAATGGCGACACTTTCGTAGATCACAGCCCCCCAAGGACGGGGATGTCCCGCTCAGATCCGCGCGGTGCCCCACTCCGCTGACTACCTACCAGACAACCCCAACCCAACCCGAAGACTCGAATTTCGGGTTGAGGGGGGGTACGGGTTCCATACGTGCTTTTGAAATGTTCCCCGACCCATCCAACTGGAAATGAGGGGGCAAATTGAAAGTTTCGGGTTGGGTTGGGGTGGTTTGGTGGGTGGTGATCCGCTGGACCCACCAGCAGCCCTCGAAAGTGGCGACAGTTTCGCAGATCGCAACCTCCCAGGGACGGGAGGGTCCCGCACAAATCCGCGCGGTGCCTCACTCCACTGGACCAACCAGCAGCCCTCGAAAGTGGCGACAATTTCGCAGATCGCAGCCCCCCAGTCCTCGAAGGTGGCGACAGTTTTGCACATCGCAGCCCCCAAGGACGGGGGGGTCCTGCTCAGATCCGCGCGGTGCCTCACTCCGCTGGACCCACCCACCAGCAGCCCTCGAAAGTGGCGACAGTTTTTCGCAGATCGCAGCCCCCCAGTCCTCGAAAGTGGCGACCGTTTCGCTGATCGCAACCCCCCACGGACGGGGAGGTCCTGTTCAGATCCGCGCTGTGCCTCATTCCGCTGGAGCCACCCACCAGCAGCCTTCGAAAGTGGCGACAGTTCCGCAGATCGCAGCCCCCCACGGACGGGGAGGTCCCGCACAAATCCGCGCGGTGCCTCACTCCGCTGGACCCACCAGCAACCTTCGAAAGTGGCGACAGTTTCGCAGATCGCAGCTCCCCAAGGACGGGGAGGTCTCGCTCAGATCCGCGCGGTGCCTCACTCCGCTGGACCCACCGGCAGCCCTCGAAAGTGGCGACAAACTCGCAGATCGCAGCCTCCCAGGGACGGGGAGGTCCCGCTCAGATCCGCGCGGTGCCTCACTCCGCTGGACCCACCAGCAGCCTTCGAAAGTGGCGACCATTTCGCAGATCGCAGCCTCCCACGGACGGGGAGGTCCCGCTCAGATCCGCGCGGTGCCCCACTCCGCTGGACCCACCAGCAGCCCTCGAAATGACGACAGTTTCGCAGATCGCAGCCCCCCAAGCAAGGCAAGAGGAGACAAGGAGGGGAGGCGGGAGGCGGAAGGAAGAAGGAAACGCGACCGCGGTCAGACAGACAGAAGCCATGCGCCAGCCTATGGCACGGCGCCTTGGCACAGCGATGCGGACACGCCAAACGCGTGCAGAAAAGGAGCAACAACATGCCAAAGTCAGGAAATTCTACACACACGCAAAACACGTGCCGGGGCTGGTGGACGAGGGGGAGGAGGGCTACGATGAACGAATTGGTATGGTCCTGATATGCCTCAGAATGCATCCAAGCATGAAGTGTCTAACTCGCCGTGCTTTGTTGTAGTAGTTCGTATACGCAATCTGCCCACTGCAATATCGGACGTCCCCGCTTCCTGACAGAGCGCCACTTCCTGGGGATGTCCCCACCGGGCTCGCAAACAAGAGCTTTGAGAAAACTATCGGCGGGCATTTGTTGACATTTTGACATCTGCCTGCGTTTGTCTCTTGTGCAACGTCTCGCGACCGCGGTGCTCTATTCAATACGAATACCCAACCAAGGAGGGTTGGGAAAAATCCTGTGCCCGCGGGGAATACTTGGAAAACTTCTCGGAAGGCCGGGGGACTGCCGAGCCTTCTGAGAAGACCCGCCCACTCTCACTCCCCCCCTGGGCTCGCCGCCGATTCACGAGATGGCACTGCACGTCCTGCTCCGGGCCGTGCCCCGGCCAGGGCCAAGACTGCCGGCTTCAGCGTGCGAGAAAGGGCGCCCACT